TGGACATGATCCAACCGGTCAAGGCAAGATCTGGACATGATCCAACCAGGGAAGGCAAGATCAGGACATGATCCAACCGATCAAGGCAAGATCTGGACATGATCCAACCAGTCACTGGTTGGATCATATCCAGATCTTGCCTTCACTGGTTGGATCATGTCCAGATCTTGCCTTGACCGGTTGGATCATGTCCAATTCTTGCCTTGACTAGTTGAATCGTGTAAGATAAGACGGAAAGTGAATACTTTACGAGATATTTTGAATTTTTTCATATTGCAACTTTGGAGCTTTATAACTCGAAAAGTACTCAATGAAGAAACATTTCATTACAATGTTTTGGAAAGCTCTCGAGGTCAGCTACAAGAATATGTAATAAAAAATAGGGGATGCGGTTTAAAAAAATTGAGGTGACTTTCATGTGACTTTCAAATAATTCTTCAAGGTCAAAGCAATAGTACATCTTATGGTCCCCTCGAAACCAAACAACTTTTGTCTGAAAAATTTTTCTCTCCCGTGCTTGGTTTTCGACATATTCGACTGGATGGATTAAAATGGTCCACCCTGTATATATATATATATATATATCCTCTAGAAGAATTCTATTTTAGTTTAAACTTGGAATCGATTGAACAATTCAGAACATTTCCTTGTTAATATAGTATATTTAATCAAGTCTTAGGTACCTGATATACAAGAACGACGATCTTCACATTGAAATTGATCAGGCCTACATGTGACATTTTGACATCTCTGCAGGAATTCGTCCTCACCATTTGGACAGTCATTCTCACCATCACATACCCAAGTCTGATGTATGCAAGTTACGCCATCATTACAATCAAATTCCTTGTTACAATGGCTTATTTTTTCACCATTTGGCTCCTAAGAAGGTATATTACAAATACATTAGATCTGTGTAAAAATATCTCTATCTTTTCTTTCACTTAAATGACTTTTAATGCTCTACTATCTCGTCGCAGAAAGTCTGAATTGACGGTAGTGTCGGTGCTCCATTTGTGGCCACTGCTCTATTTGTGGTTACTTTAAGGAATCTTTAAGGATTCAAATTATTTAGTCTATGATTCATATTCGCGTTACGTAAGTGACAATATTTTGTTTTTACAGCATTTCTATTGGTCATACTACTCGCTAACGAATGTAGAATTTTCTTTCTTCTATGGCTGCGTTCGTTTTGGGCGCTTATGCGCTGTAAGCGTCATTCTATCTTCTTCCCGCATGTAATGAGCGATAAAGATAGAATGACGTTTACAGCGCGTAAGCGCTCAAAGCGAACACAGCCTTTAACTAAATATGTATAACCGAAGGTAAATGAACTGCTGCATTTGTGCAAAACGTTAAGGATACGAGATGAGATAAACGTTAGAATTATTATATAAAAACATAATTGTGAATGAATGTTTCTATTATCGGCTTACGGAAAGTCTAAAAGTTAATCTAAATATGCATAACCACGTATTTGATTCCTATTAAGCAAAAACTAATAGGTGTCGAAAACTAGATTATGTATTAATATAATGCTCCATTTTTGGTCATAGGGTGGTTAGAACTGGTTGTTGCGTTGTTCCAGTTGTGGCCAACAAAAATAACGAATGAGTTTTGTGTAAAATTATAAAATTTATGGCACTACAAAATCCATGCTGGTTTTTACTAGCTTTCACTATTGTGCTTTAAAAAATTATAAAAGTATAGTACACCTATTTGTCTAGAAACAAACTATACACAAACACACACACACATATAGTTTGTTTCCACACACACACATACACACACATAGTTTGTTTCCACACGCACGCACGCACGCACAAGGTAAAAAGAAATACATTATTTTTCCAATAGATGGCTTTAGTAATGTGTATCTCGCGTTGTATAAGTGCGATCGGTTTACGCTAGATGGCGCTAGAAAGATAAGATTTCGTATTAAAAAAACTTCTCAGACAATTTTGTGATTGTTTGACTCAGTATTGTTTGAACGCGCGTCAAAAATGGACATGAGCAAAGAGAAAATACGCCATATTTTACAATTTTTCTTCAATAAAGGCGAAAACGCAAGCCAGGCGGCTGAAAATATGAATAGTGTTTATGGTCCTGATACTGTAACAGCCAATCACGCGCAATTTTGGTTTCGTCGATTCCGTTCCGGTAATTTTGATGTCAAAGATGCACCACGCTCTGGAAGGCCAATTGTCGAAAATGTCGATAAAATAATGGAAACCGTCGAGTCCGACCGTCATGTAAGCACTGTTTCGATTGCCCAGGAGCTAAACATTGCACAAAAAACCGTTTGGAACCACTTGAATAAGGCTGGATACAAAAAGAAGCTCGATGTATGGGTGCCACACGAGTTAACGCAAAAAAAACCTCATGGACCGAATTTCCATCTGCGAATCGCTGCTGAATCGCAACAAAATCGACCCATTTCTGCAGCGGATGGTGACTGGTGATGAAAAGTGGGTCACTTACGACAACGTCAAGCGAAAACGGTCGTGGTCGAAACGCGGTGAGCCGGCGCAAACGGTGGCCAAGCCAGGATTGACGGTCAGGAAGGCTTTGCTGTGTGTTTGGTGGGATTGGCAGGGAATCATCCACTATGAGCTGCTCCCCTACGGCCAAACTCTTAATTCGGACCTGTACTGTCAACAATTGGACCGTCTGAAGGAATCAATCGCCCAGAAGCGGCCAGCTTTGGCCAATAGGAGAGGAATTGTGTTCCATCAGGACAACGCCAGGCCACACACATCGATAGTGACTCGCCAGAAGCTCCGGGAGCTTGGTTGGGAGGTTCTTATGCATCCACCTTATAGTCCGGACCTGGCACCAAGTGATTACCACCTGTTCCTGTCTATGGCGAATGATTTTGCTGGTGAAAAATTCGCCTCAAGAGAAGCTTGTGAAAATCAATTGTCCCAGTTTTTTGCCAATAGAGACAAGGGTTTCTATGAGAAAGGCATAAAGGAATTACCTTCAAAATGGCAACAAGTTATCGAACAAAACGGTGCATATTTGACCTAACTCGGATCATTCTAACTATGCTAAATAAAGCCTTCAATTTCATGCAAAAATAATGGATTTCTTTTTACTACACCTTATATATATATATATATATATATATATATATATATATATATATATATATGTATGTATATGTATTATATATACACTTATTTTCTTTGTAAATAAGTGTTCTTGTTTCTTTAAATGAATAATAAGAAAAATCGTTCTAAAAAGAAAACTTCAGAAATAAGCAACCACAAAAGAAAAAATTTTTACGTATTCATAAACAATAAAAGATGTTATTATGTGTATATATACCTAGCTAGCCAAACCTGCACGAGCAGATTTTGCGCAGTCTATCAATAGTGTCTGTAGACAGAATGGCAACAGATTGCACACAGAATCTATTCTGACGACATATTAGTGACAAACTGTGCGCAGAGCCTATCGACAGATTCTGTTTCCTAGATAGGCTATTTAATTCTATCAAGGGCCATATGTACGTTATTAAATGAGGTAGTTTCACATACACACCATGTAAAACCCCGAGAGGAGTCAAGATAATTATATTTTACAATAATTGTACATATATACACAATAAAAAAAAATTTTTACTTTTTAAAATTGTATTACACATTATTTGTAAAAAAGCAACAATAATAGAGAAATGACGAGTACAAGTATAGAATAGTATAACGGTTAAATGACCATTTAAAGGCGTACATATTTCATCCCTGGTAAAAATTATTCTCACAATTTCTCATATTATTATTATTTTTTAATATTATTATGTCATTAAATCTGAACGATTTAACCGTCATGCAATAAGTACTCAAGGCAGCAGCACCGAATAAAATATTAGTCTCGCTATGTAAATAATTTTCACAGAATTTTTGTGATGGTTTATTTGAAAATATATTATGCTTCAATTTTGATAAAACTTAATACAATCTGAACTGGACAATCGGACAAATTAATTCGCACATATAAAAGCACAGTATTTTATTAGCATGATGGAAAAATGTCATTATCTGCTGTTTTATTGCAGTAATTTTCTATACAGTCCTTGGTAGAAAATTAATTTCGAATTATCGTGCCGGTCTCTCTTACATTATTTATACGTTAAACGGTTTCGTCTATATTTTGCGGTTAAAAAAGCGAACAAACTCTAAGATTTTTCTTCATTAAACTTTAAGTGGGCAATACAAAGCATTTTTTATCAAGTGAGAAATTGGCGTAGTATCTAAGGCGACGGACGATTATCCAAAAGATGTTTTCAGTTCAAGTTCGAATCTTACCAGAAAAAATTTTAAAAATTATGAAAAAATAATATAGAAAAACTTTCTTTTTCATGGTATTTATGAGTATTTATGAGAAAGCGCTCATTCTTTGAGTAATTATGAGAAAATTTTCTACCAAAAATTTAATTGAAGAATCTATGAAGTGACAGGATCTGCGTACAATCTGCCGCCAATCTGATGTCAGAATTTGTTAGCAGACCCTGTCAGCAGTCTGATGGCTAGGGTTCGGAAGTTCGTGCACGATCCCGTGTCGCGCGCGGAGAACCGCTGCTTGCGAGTGTGTCGGGTGCTCGATGAAGGGAGATAGCAACATTTCTCGAAGAGATCCGATGGCCGCCGATTGCATCTGATCTATCCAAGTATGATATATGTATTTATCTGGACTGACGGACGGGCTACTCAATATAAACAAAGCGCGGAATAGCTTTCTATATTGATTTGAGTTAAGAAAACATATTTTTTCAAAATGCCACAATCTGTGCACGAAAAATTGATCTCAATGTCAATTAAAATTGACAAAAATATTTATGATATTCTTACAAAGTCGGATCGACTTTA